CAACCTTTGCGCCCCAGCGATTTGATTGGTTTACTTTACTGCTTTCTTTGTACTTGCTTGGTGATTTTTTCTACTGGGTTTTTTGATCTCTCCTCTGGGTATCTTGCTGATTATGTTTGTATTGTGTGTTAATAATTACCTTTTCAATTTTTCTTTTGTGGTCTTTCACTTTCCTGTAGTTCTGTTTGGTTTCTGAGAAAATGGAGAAATGGAACATGTTGGGGTCTTAAAGTTTTGTTTTTTTAGCTCTTTCTCTATTGGGACATGGATTATCGGACCTTAGGCTTAAAGTCATGCTGGTTGTCGCCTCAAATCTGAGGAATTCTTCATCTTGTAATCTTAATAGTTTGGTGAAATTGTGCATTATAATTATTGTTATTTATATTATTTGATGTTGGTGCATTCATATTGTAATAAATGAAGGGGATGCAAATTTGGGTTCACTAGATTTTAGTTTGTATCCTGTTTAATTGTATTTTTATTTGATTAGTCTTTGCTCAATTGTGCTTGGAATTTTTTGTAGCCGTCATCCTGAGGTTAAACGAGCACAGAGGAACGACAAGGTTTTCATTACCGTGCAAATGCTAGATTCTACGAATGCAAGGGTCAATCTTGAGCCAGATGGGGTGTTTACTTTGTCTGCTAATGCTGGAGCGGACAATAAGTTATATGAGCTGAAGTTGAATCATTATGATAAGGTCAAGGTGGAGGTAAGAATAAGATGCTTCCCAAGAGTCCCAAATCATATGTTTCAATTTCATCCTTTCATTGTTGGTGATGTTGATGGGTGTTAATTTAGGGATTGAATGATAATCGAGTAAATTCCACTTCTTATTTGGGGATTGAAATGAGCTTAAAATACTGATAAGCAGCCATGTGCAAAAAAATAATGGAGGGACTATAAAAAAAGGGTTAGATAATAAACTTTAGGGATTAAAAATAAGTTTTTTTAAGTTGAGAAACTAAAAATAAGCATTTTGTTAAAGTATAAGAACTAAAATAGGTTTTAACATTTTTTGACTTTAAATTTTTTCCAAATTAATTATCGTTTTTCATTTTTTAAAATAGATAATTTTTTTTT